ACTAAACTGCCACTAAACTGCTTGCTGCCGCATACAGAGGAGATGCTTATTTTGAAACTTTACATACATGCTGCAGCTATCTTTTAGCTTAGGCAGCAATGTAACATGTCTACTCTTTGCTATGGTAAGTAAAAATCATATAAAGAAAATACATACTGCTTTAGGAAAAAGTTGGTCTTATAGAGAACCAAAAGTAGCTGCAGTAACAACAGAGCCAGAGATCTACTTTTGAGACAAGATGCTCTTCAGTTAAGCATAACGACAAAAAATTGTAGGTAAATACATTAAAGCAAGGTTTTTTTTGTCATGCAGGATAGGTTAACAGCAAGGCAGCTAATGGAGAATGAGCATCTGTCACAGCAGTTTGCAGGCTCCTCCCTCAGGAAACATATGAGAGCTGCATTTTCTAGGAACTTCTGATAGCTTGGTGCTGCCAGGGAAAGTTAACTGCTGGAAATAAAGAGATATAAAGAGAATCTCCTGTCACCACAAGGGTTGTCAAAGACTGACCTATGAAGGTTCTGGGACTTCTATCCTTGAGATGTCCAAGGGCAAGTCTTGAGTGGAGGACACTATGATTCTAAGATCTTCCAAACTGATTACTGATAACCCAACACTTAAAATATATTGAGTAACCCCCACTGTTTTGTCTAGCACCTAAAGTATTTATGAGATCTTAAAAAAAATGAAGACAAAACCTCTACTTTACTATCTTTTTGAAGTATGTCTAATTGTTTTTGATGCAGTAGCATTGGAGATTTTTTTTTTTGGAAAAGATTACTGTAATGGCTATGAGAAAATGTGTTTGGCTAGAATTACTCTGTTGATATTGAGTACTAACAAGGTCTTTGTCTGACCAGAGATGTGCCCTTTTGTATTTTACAGCACCTGAAGTAGTTGTGCATCTAATGTTGTTGAGTTCAGTAGCACATAAAATTGATACTCCTGGCACTACATGAGTTAGAGTGAGGGAATGTTGTTGTCTTTTTTATTCCTGTTGTTAGAGGAAGTTGTATTAAAGAATATAGAAGAGTGTGTGCAAATATAGAACAGTGTGTGCATTTTTAATACTGTATTTTATTGATGTTTCATACAGTAAAGAACAGTCTGATAACTAAACAGTATTTATAGAATTAGAAATGTAGCAAGCAGTCTTTTCTGATTCTCACTTTTGTTTGTGTTTTGTATGAGTGGCACTGAGAGACTTCAGGCCAGCCTAATACATTACTCACTGAAGAATCTTTCCAACAAATAAATTCAATAATGAAGTACTTGGAAGCCCTGTATATTCACATTTGTAAATGGGAAAAGTATCCACAAAGGCATGTTATTATTGATTTTGCAATAAGCTGCACTAATTAACTAACTAACAGGCCAGCTGGAAGTCAAAAGGGATTTTTTTTTTTTTTGGGTGCAGGTTGATAGAAGCAACATTACCAGTGGAAGTATTGGAATTTTGTTTTATTTCAAAGGCATGTGCTGGGAAAATAAACGAGTCCAAAGCAATTGTGTAGCACGGTTTTCCAAAAAAGGCAATAAATTAACTGAACCTCTACAAAGAATCTTTTCTCTGCAGAAAGGTATGTGTTTCTACCTGACTTGTTTATATTAATTTTATTTTCTGGGAATGCCATCCATTATTTTGACATGCTTTATGGTGAGTAAAAAATCCTTGATTGCAGCTGCATACCAAAAGAAGGAGTTTTGTTACTTTTCACAAAAAAACCTATCTTCGGAAATGTCAGAGGCCATTTAAATGTCATTGCTCGAGAAAGTACTTTGAGAATGTTCCAAAATGAGCTTTTTTGGAGGTGTCAACTCTTTGAAAAAAAATTATCTGTCTAGCTATGTTGGATTCACTTCTATACAGGTTTCCTTGTGTGCAAATAAGAAATATATTAGACGTGCTCAAAGCTAGAGAGCTCAGGCAAGTCAGAACATTTGAGCATTTCTCACAGAGAGAAATTCACAGGTTACTTCACAAGTAAGATTAATTGGACTTATTTCAGTTTGTCTGCTTTCTCATGGATAGAAAAATAGGATACAAAGATTGCTGGTAGTTTTTTGATTCTTTTTTACTGAAATTTCTGTTATAAAACTAGGTCTCTGAAGCCCAGGTACTGAACCTCTATTATCTTATAAGTGTATAGCCTACAAGGCATTTTGGAAAAGTAACAGAAAATTACTGGTTTGTTTTGTAGTGTGATATGTATTTATATATCATTCTGGAGACCTCAGCAACATTTCAGTTGTTTTTTTATTAATATTTAAGTATTTCAGTCCATAAATTTTGAGGTAAGATATGAGAAACACCATGGTCATCTCGTTCTGACTTCCTTTGCCACAGAAGATATAGAACTTCTGTGAACGATATCTGACTGGAAGATCCACAGTGACCAGTAGTCACTGCTCCTAGAAAAATACCCTGAAGCCTTGAATCTCATTTTCATTTATGAAAAATGCTTATTAAGTTATCCCAATGGCTAATTGCACTCTTTGTTATAAAAAAAGAAAAAATTTTTAATAACATTTATTAAGTTTTAATCCAGAACTTGTACAGATCTCTTTATATCTTTATTTGAGAAACAGAGGAGATAGATTTAAAAATATGGTTTCTTTGTCTTTTATATCTAGGTTATATTCTTCTTTGCAATTAACTAATTAGAATTAACTTTTAAACTTCTCTATAACTCAAAGATTATGATTATTTGATTGGTTTTTGCAGTTCATCTGTTTTTTTTCCAATTTATTGTTATTGTTTCTGAATGTGAAGGTCATACCTGGAACTAGTGCTCTAATCCACCACAGTATACACAGACATAATATAACTTTTCTTCTACTATCATGGCCTACATGAAGATAGAGGGAGCAAATAATCCCAGGATAAAAACTCTCTGTGACACAGTCCTGCAGGTTCACTGTATGATGTGATATCTGCAGAAGTGGAGAGTTGTACGTAATAAAACCACTCACTGTTTTTCAGAAAATTCACTTATATTCAGGAAACGGTGTTAGTGGACATGTAGAAATTCTCTGCCCCCAAGAAACTTCAATGAAACATCCAAAATGTCCTGAACCTTTCTGAAGCTCCCAAGAAAAAGTGAGAGCAACAATTATAGGCAAGCTGCAGATCCTAAGGAAACTATGGACATCCTAGTAGCACAGTGCAGAGATCCTCCAAGCTAGCTGGGGGTATGTGCTTCCAGGCAGCTGCATAAGTTGTAGTCTCCACCAAAATCAACAAAATGCTGTGTGGAGGGGTACCTGATCTGCTGCCAGTGCCATGTACTGAAACAATGCTGCACTTCCAGAACAGGGACATCTACCTCCAGTCACAGTTCTGGCAGTGATGTCATAGTAGTTGTTGCTTCTGGATTTATTTGGTTTGGATTGGGTTTCTTTTGTTTGTTTTTTTGTGGTTTAGTATTTCTTAAATTTTATTTAAAATTTAAGTATTATAGCCACATCCTATGACATAATACATCATTGGATGTAATCCATATATATAGGATGTAATCCATATGTAATCATATATAATCCAAATGATAGTGAACTGAATAAGATAGTGAACTGAATAATCCAATAGTCTCTAAAACTATCAGTTGATTTTCTTAATAAACATAATTTATGGACTTCAATGTTTCCTGCCATCCCTCTTATTGCACCTCAAAATGAAGCTAAAACTTGCATAACTGCAAAAAGAATTACAGTTCATAGACTGAGACACTGACTGTACACCTAATAACACACACTCATGAATTTAATCTGATCAAAAAATATTTCTGAGTGTGCTTATATTTTACTGTGTTGACACAGTTTCAGAGAGTAAGGGTACCTGTTGCTGTGTTAGACTTTGTAATTACTCATCTCATAGCAACCAACAAACCTCTAACTGATTATGATGATCTGTATGTAATACTTCTGTTGCTTTATTTTGGCTGGTGATTTTAATTTTTACATCTACACTTTGCTTTCATTTGACCATACTCCAGATGCAGTGAAATCTGGTTATACTTTTCAGCTGCAGGACAGAGCAATATGAAAGGTATGTCAGGAGTTAAATATGAAGTGAAGAAAAACATTCAGTTGTTTTATAAGTCAAGATTACAGTAGAGCTGACTCTGCACCATATTGCTTGCTTTTACTCTTACCATTATTGCAATCTCTGTTGGCTTTCTGCTTTGGGGGTGAGGGGTTGACCATTGCCTACCAAAATCTCCTATGCTGAAGTCCTGACAATATGAACCGAAAGTGATACAATTGATAATGAAGGAACAGGGAAAATATGCATTCTTTGGCAGGGGTTAATTGAATTTGTCCTTTTGGCTTTGCTGTGCATAGTTCCTAGTTTCATGTTTCCTTCCTTTTTCCCCAGGAAGTATGAATATCTCCTAAGGGACACTGCCTTGATGGCATTATCTATTTTCACCTGGTCACCTAAAAAGCTTCTGGAATTGCAGGTAGAATGTATGTTAACACTGCTCATGCTTTCCTGTAAATAGAGGCTGCTGTTTTGACAGAACTTTCTGGTTCTCCTTGGTCAGGCCAGTATTGTTTCCATATATATCAGTTAATGTATGAGCAGACTGTAATGCTGTCCTTTATCATTTCTTGGAATAGATTTTCTTTTCACGTGTTACCATGATCCTGTATCGTCTTCATGTTCTGCAAGGGTGTGGAATGCATGTTTCTTCATAGCTTCCTTCTTGATAGCAGATTTCTTCTTTATGAACTCTATTGTAGGTTTTATTGATCCTAATATTTGATCTTCATGAATTCATCTGGAAAATATTAAGAAAGGAATGAAAATAGCATAATAAGCAGAGTTGTCCAACTTATCAGGTTTATAGTGAATTTCTTTTTCAGAAAGGACTTAAACTTTCAACTAATTTTCTCAAACTTTTCTTTTTTTTTTTTTTTAACAGAAATCTCATAGCCATGAATGTTATCTTTCCATGGTAAAATTTGCATGATAGCACTGGAGTTTTATTTATTTTATGATTCTGGTGACCAGGCAAAAGATATACCTTCCTCTCAGATATATTTCAGAGGTATTTAACACCACAGAAATGTCAACTATAATTTTTTCCCCAATTTAGAAGTGTGTTATCACTGTATTTTTATTTCTTCATGTGTATAAGCTCAAAACCCCCCAGCAGTGCCTTTGAGTAGTTAAAGCAGACCTTCTAAGGATAAAGTGAAAACCTGCCTTTTAGGACAAGAACACTGTGAATTGTCAAACTGGATCTTGCAGTCTTTTTGTTAAGCTGGTTGTGATTCTAATAGTTATATTCTGTTAAATACCCACTTAATTCAGTTTTATTCTTCTGATAATAGGGATACTAAAGATACTAAGACTTGTTGGACTAGAGGTTGAACCAGATATCTGTTTGCATGATTCCTAGTTCTCACAACATTCACCATATATATTTTTTAACAGAAACATGAAATAAATCACTGACTTTACCTCCAGTTGTATAAAATCTGGGACAATTCAGACAATTTTCCTACCTGCTATCCTTCTTTTCACATGCAAAGTTTATGCTTATTCTCATTCCATACTAGATAAGAACAATAGTAAAAGCTGTGAATGTCTTAAGTCATTATTGTTTTAGTATGTCAAATAAAAATTCACAGACCCTGGTGAGTTGGTGATAGAATGACAGATGGGTCATCAATGCTCCTAATAATATATAACTTGTCATATTTAGTTTTGAAAGTTCAGCCAGTTTTGGTCTGTCTTTTTGCCTTCCTGACAATGTCAGCTCTGATATAGTTCTGCATTCTCATGTCACTTTTCATTTTATTATTCATCTTGGACCTAATTTATAATTTAAAACCCCAAAACATTATTGATTCACTGACTTATTGATCTGTTCACCAAATGGTTTCAAATGAAGCCATCGCCCTACTGACCACTTTGCATTTGCTATCTGCCTTTCTTCCATTTTACCAGTCTGGATGCTGCAGAGTTTTGTGTTTAAGAGTATGAAAAGAATTGGATTTGCAAACAGTAAGTATGCTGTGATTCTCTACGCTTTTCTAAGACTGCTCATTTAAGCATTTAAGATTTTTCTCCTCTCCCGGATAGCTGTGTTGGCAGAGGTGGTTGATTTTGTACAACTGATTTAGTATCAAAGCCCTCCTAGGGATTAGTATCACACAACCTCTGTATGGGTGTTCAGCTCCTCTGCAGAAACAATTTACATTTCCCTTTCATATTTGCAAGGTTTACAAAGATGTTTTTCTTGTTTTTATTGGTAGAAAGATAATGAGGTAAATAATTCTATGTATTCCTTAACAGGGTAAAAAAAAAGACTTTTTTTTTTTCTAAAGGAAAACCAAATTTGTTCCCGTGGTCTTCCCTCATGCTCTCCCATCAGAAATAACTACAAGTCAGAGTTCCCAGTTTTGCCGTTAGCCTTGGAAGAAAATAATTTTTTTTTAATGAAACTGCACAATAACCTGCAGTTTCTGAGCAAGCCCCTTCAGAGCAAAACAATTCACTAATTACTTAGCAAATATAGATCAAAATGAGCCAAAATATAGATTTAACTCAAATATCAATGCCTAAAATAATGAACAAAAATGTACATATTTATTAGGAAAGCAATTCTTAAAAATAGGTTTAATTCTCTGTAAAAAAAATAGAATATTTTTTAAAATGAACATACTTAAAATGGGACTTTTGCTTCCTTGCGAATATTTTTAAAATTTGAATACTGTGATTTTCTTCTCCTATTTTTTGGAAGTTACCTCATGTTTAGTGGTTGTAGCCCCATCTATGCGAGAAAAAACATAAATAGGAAAGCACAAAAACCCCTTCTCCATATGCATAAATGTTAGATACTTTCTGAACTTCCATTACTACTTCTTTGTTCATTTCATGGGGAAAAAAAATCATTTGACAAAGTCGCCATCATACTTAAGACAGCACCTGGAGTTAACACAGTTATTGTGTATCTGAAAATGTTAGTACATCTACAAATACTAGATGGAACCAGGGAAGCTGAATGTAACATTTTGAAGAGTGTGTAGCATCCTGTTCTGCTTGTCTGACTGTTCCGGCAGGATTTTTGATATCAAGAAATTCTTAAGAAGGTTATGTATGGGTTTTGACCCCAATATTAATGCATCCTGGGAGAGTTGGATGTAACATGATCAATCATAAAGAGATAATAATTTTATTACTTTTACTCATTGCAATAAAGCCATAAACAATAGATAAGTCTTTGTATTGGGCTAACAGTCAGCAATCTTTTATAACACTTTGGTGTAATTTGTAAGAAAAGTGCCATTTGCCTTAAATCCTATAAAAGGATTTGGCATTTTCAAGTGATTGATTACACACATACCTAAGAGAGAACATGTAGTTTGTTGGGTTTTTTTACTTTCTGTTCTCTTAGAATGAAATCCTGTGGCTGATTACATTTCAGGAATCTCCGTTTGGGAAATAACACTGCATTCACTTAAATCTCAGATAAATGCAAGATTAAATCCTAACGGGTACTTCCCTAAGGGGGGAATTTTTGCAAGCCTGTTGAATCCTCAGGTTATCTCACCACTTGGTATTTCTTAGACCTAAGTAATATTTTATTTTGCAGTTTAGAATATAGTAAATGAAAACATATTTTTTAAACTCTCAACTCTGTTCTAGGATTTTAACTAGTGAACAGTGCTGCTGTGATTTCTTTTTAAATATTTCTTTGGACTATAGCTGGTTCAGGTATAGATATAGCATTTGCTGCTAAAGATTTATATGTCTAAACCAGCTGACAATTTAGAAATTTTTATTTTATTATCATTCAGTTATTAAGACTATGCACAGTCTTCATCAAAATATGGGCAGTACAAGGGTTAAAAAAGTTAAAAATAAATTATTACATGGAAATTAAATTAGATTTCATGTCAGAAGATTTGTTATTACGCTAACAAATTAAATGACATTTTAGTTAGAGAGGAGTAGAAAGTTTTCATTGGAATCCAACACCAGTGCCATAAACAATTAACAAGCACTCTTCTTATTCCTGTAATTAACTTCTTTATCTTGTGAGTTTATCCAGAATTTGTCTGTTTGAAACTTCCTAGGAAAACATTTCTGAGCAGGACAGAGTTTTATGTGTGCCAGTGTATGTGTGTTGGGAGGAATGAAGAGAAGAAACTAGAGAAGAGGAGATGAGCGAAAATGGATGAGAATGTAAGTATGGCTAGGGAATGCTAAAGGATCTCATATCCATTTTTGCGCTGTAAATACTACACTAGACATTGTAAATAGCTGCTCTATCTGCAAATAACTTAGTGAATGGTTCCTTGAAATCCACTGTCCTTTGCAAATCTGCCTTGTTTGTAAGCGCCTATCATTTGTCGTGGGAGCGGCTGTCACAACAGGGCTATAGGCTGAGACAATCTGTGAGCCAAATGCTGCTGTTATACACTTTTGTGAAATTTTGCTTAGGTTGCTCCTATCTGATCACCACAGAAGCCTTTCAGGATGGAAGAATTTGCTGGGAAAGGGTCAGCAAAATACTTGCAAAACAAAGTGAAATGCATTAAACAAGAACAAGGAGGAAATCAAAACCGTGTAGAAATTGTTGAAAGCCTATAAAGTCTGAGGGGAAATGAATTTGCAAAGTAACTGCCATCTATAGTGCCTATGTTTTATTGGAATAGTCATCATGATGTACTGAAGGAGGAAAAGTCAGCAATTTTTGCTTTGTTTTTTTTTTACAGGTACTTTTGAAGATTATGTCTACCTGAGACTCATCTTAGAAAGTGTAATTCCTAGATTATATATGGGGGTGTATTTCTGTAGCTGGTTATATGGATTAGAAGAGTCTAGACCTTTTTAAACTACCTCGGAATCACAGCCTACCTGACAATACGCTTTGTCAAACAAACATTTTGGATGTCAGTTTTTTACTAGCTGATTAAGGAGAAGATACTGCATCTAGATTCAAATTCTTTTACTTAAATAAAAAGCATTAGCATAATAAATCAAGTTCTTTGATGTAGCAAGGTGAACAAGTGTATCTTTCTCCTTTCATGCTGGTTATATATCCTAATTCCTCTTTGTAAATTCTTTAAGTCAACACTACCAAATGAGCACAAACACAGATATAGTGATTATCTTGCAGAGCTTCACTGAATCAAATAGAGTGAAATCTGTGATATCTCTGTTTTCTGGAGGTGTACATTGCACGTTCATCATAAATTAGTTGTTTTAAGACAAATGAGATATTTTAGGTTATTGATATGCAACCAGTGTCATAAAAGATGCACAGCGAGAAGGGCTAAGGTTTTTCTCCAATTCACGTCAGAAGACTTGGGAAGAAATCTTCTTGGGAAGAAATAGTTTCACTGAGGCCCTATTTTCATGTGAATTTTTAAAGCCACGTGATCTCTCATCTAAGCTGGAGGTAGTAACTATGCATGCCACTTCCATTAAAATGGAGAAAATGTCATTAGCTGAAAGTTTCATTTTGAGGAAAGAGTAGAATATAGGAGAAAGTATAGAAGAGATAAATCTAATATATGGGGATTTTTTTGTCATCTAATGGCTAGAACTAGTCCAAGAGCTGGCAGTCACTACAGGAAAAGGGAAGTAAATCAAAGAAGATGGTAGAAGTTACTACATTTGCAGTTATTTATAACCTTAGAAAATGGAAAACCTAAGAACTTGGCCAGAAACTTAGATGTATAGCTTAAGTTTTTAGTGTGATATGCCTCACCACTTATTTAAGTGTTTAGCAGCTGATTGTAAAATAAAATAATATGGGTGGGAAAAATATTTGCTACTTCTCCGTGCCTGGGGTCCTAGTGAACCCTTGTTGTAGCAAAAATTGTTGCTTATGTGCAACAACATATTCATATTCATTGCTAAACTTCCTAGCTATAGGAAAACTGGATATTAAACTGAAAATTTTGATACCTGCTCTATAAGGTAACAAATATTTCACTTAACTAAAATTTGAGAGTCATATATTTTCTATTATTTATTATTAAATACAAAAATTGTATCTTTACAAACAGTTTTGTTTGCCTTAAAAAAATACATTCAAGAATGTCTTTGCATGTACATGGGACTGTCAGTTTTAAAGCACAGTAGTTTAATAGTATTACAAGCTTTTTAAAGTAATCTTCCATGCTCCTATGTCACCTACAACCTGAGTATTGTCTCTTTTGGAGTGCTCAGTGGGAAAGGAAATTTTGCTTTGAATTTTTCCTTGAAAACCCCTTCAGTTTCCTGACTGTATTCTCTCTCTGCAGGTGAGAATTTATATTTATATGCATCATAAACCATAAAAATATAATTTTTGTAAATCCAAAAAGCTTATAAACTGAATGTCTGACTACACTTGTTAACTATAAATTTTGAATGATTTAAAAGGGTAAGTGATCATTCTCTACTGGCTTGCAGTTTTTAGCATGGTCTTACTGACATCTAATACTTCCTATCTAGTAAACACAGACTGCACATGTAGTAGGGGTTTTGTATTTGGCAGGAAGAAAAGAATCATTCTGACTCTCATCTTCCTTGACCAGTTGAGTTCTGGAGGGATGGAAAATGAGAACATAATTTATGTAACCAGACTTTTTTAATCGACATTTATAGCTCTACCAAGGTAAGGATAACAGTGTGAGTCTATTATATCATCATTAATAGTAACAACTCATCCTTCAGAGAAGATAGCTACATTATAAACTGTCTGTACCTTCTCACATGGCCAAGAGAAGCCAAACCCTAAACTGAATAGGGCATATGCTTCTGTATCCTTAACAGGCCAAGGAATCTCACAGGGAGAAAATAATCTGCATTTAAACCAGTGGTGCAACTGTGAGCTTCTCCTAAATAACTATTACCTACCAATACTTAACCAATCTTAATGAGCTGTCAGAGATGGAGGGAAGAGGAGATATCAGAAAGTTAGGAAATAATGTTTTTGGTTGTTCTGTAAACTGTCAACAAAGGCATAAACGTTTTTATAAAATAATTTTTTGTTTAGGCACTGTAAGAGGAGAGGTGGCTCCAGCTTAGGCTTGCCAACATTTATGGAAAATATTTGAGTTTGGGCCAATAGAGGGCCAATAGAGGACATGCCACACACTGCGCAAAACCTGTGTGATTCTTTCTCAGATATACAGTTGGCAAAAATTTGTAATTGATTTGTGAAAAGATATATCTACTAGTTAAAATGAAAGTCTACTGAATGTTTACGAGGTGATTCTGTCTTTCTGCAGTGCTCTGGTGATACTGTACCTGGAGTGCTTCATCCAGCTCTGGGGTCCTCAGCACAGGAAGGACGTTGACTTGTTGGAGCAAGTCCAGAGAAAGGAAAAAAAGATGATTGGAGAGATAGAGCACCTCTCTATGAGGAAAGGCTGAGAAAGAATTGGAATTGTTCAGCCTGGAAAAAAGAAGGCTTTGGGAATTCCAGCCTTCCAGTACCTGAAGGGAACCTACAAGAAAGATGGAGACAGACTTTTTACAAGGGCCCATAAAGACAGAACAAGGGAAAATGGCTTCAAACTGAAGGACAGCAGGTTTAGATTAGATATTAGGAAGAAATTCTTTACTATGAAGGTGTTTAGGCACTGAAAGATTGTCCAGAGAAGCTGTGAATGTCCCATACTTGGTAGTGTTCAAAGCCAGGTTGGACAGAATTCTGAGCAACCTGGTCGAGGGAAAGGGTCCCTCTGCCCATGGCAGAGGGTTTGGAACTAGGCAATCTTTAAGGTTGCTTTCATCCCAAACCATTCCGTGTTTCTATGATTTATGAGCTATTTATAAAAACATCCCAGCCACACATGAAAAAGAAACAACAATAGTTTGCATAGCCCTTAAATATACAAACTGCTTGGATATTGTTTTCCCTTATTCTTGTGTCAGATAGACACAGCCTTCTGTGACGCAGCAAATGAAAATAGGGTAAAGAAAGGGCTTTCAAAGAATCTAAGTAGACCATTTTGATCTATACAGATACTGTTGGTGGAAGATATGGCTGAAGAGATATGGCTGAAGAGAAAGAAAAGTATGCAATGCCTTGCCACAAGTACTGGAGGTGATACCTTTGCAGATATACTGATGAAGGAGGTTTCTCGTGCTTCCAGATAGGTGGATACACTGTTCTGCATCTAGTAGACATATTTCTGAGTTTAGTTTAAAGCATTAGATTTGTGACTGCATGATATTCTGTCTTGGCTAATTTTCCTTGCGGAGAAGGCAGATGAATCTGAACTCAATATTGTGCTACAGCTGGTGCACGCTGTTAAATAAGGCATCCCTGGAGACTCTGCAGGACACCACATAGTGCTGTAGTCCTGTGTTTTCCCTTCATCATTTCTGGGCTGAATGACTTGCCTTTCAACAAGCTGCTAGATCCTGGGAAAGCATACTGCTATTACTGTGAGGGTGCAAAACCACTCCCTAGTAAAATGCTGCAAGGGAGGAAAGGATGAAGAAAAGTCATAGAGGAAGGGGGAGGATCGAGGTGTATGTACCTCTTAAGGGTATAGATGTTCAAATATTCCTGCAGGGTTCCAGTCTCCCTCATCAGCCGTGTTGCAATCAGATGCCTTCTCCCTTCCGGATCCACCCAGGATAGATCGGATGATGGATCATGACTGTTAATGCTGCATTGGCAGAAATGTTAGCACAGATGTATAGAGTAAAAGCTAGACAATTGTTTTCCTCATGGTTTGCCTTTGTAGTAGGTTACCTATTCACCATCTGAAAAATCATACCTGTTCATAACAATTAGGAAAAAATGTAATTTGGTTAAAAATTTTTCATATGTATTTTGAAAATTTACCCAATTTTTATTTTTTCCTTCTCAAGTAAGTTTTTCTTTTTCTATTGAATCTACTCAGTTCTGCTGCTCTTGCTGTGATCATGGGGCTAACTGGGACCAAAGAAACATGTACAGTAAGTTTTGAAGTTATTCAGATTTGTGGATTTTTTTTTCCCCTGGGAATTAACCAGGGCAGGTGCTGCTTTTCTTTGTCCAAGGCACCTGAAAAAAGTAATGTCTCAATAAGGCTGAACATTTCTGATTTTACTTCTTTGCTACAGTGGCTATGATGCTATTTCCTTCTGCTATGGGTAACATGATACATGTGTGTACATATGTGTGTAGACATGAAATTATCACCGAATATTCCTTTTTTGACATGTTATAGCTAGAAATAGAAGTCAG